ACAGTATTCTGATCTGGGGTCTCTGAGTTTTTATGAATTTTATTAACCTGCATTTTTAAGCTCCCTAAAGAGATAGAACAAAAGTGGCCCTGTGAACTTGAAGACCATTGCCCTAGTATAAAAGCATGAGCTTATTCACTGTTTGTAGGCAAGCTAGGCCACTTGATTGTAATTAAATTTTATTTGTTCAATTATCAATTATTTATCCATTTCTCCCATCCTGTTCTCCCATCCCACCCCATCCCCCAGGGAAAAACAAAACCCTTATAACAAATATGCATAGTCAAGCAAAATAAATTCCTATTTTGGTGATATCCAAAAACGTGTGCTTCATTCTGCATATTTAGACTATTACTACTTGGCCAGGAGTTGGGTAACTTTCTTTGTTATTGCTCTAGGTAATTTTAAACATAGTGATCTCTAGCCTCTAACAAGAAAGGGAATAGTAGGGAGGGGTAGGCAGTTATTAATAGGGAAGTTTTTGTTCAAAACCCAACCCCATGGGAGGAGATGATGTGGTCTCCGAGTAATTTGGTTCTACCTCTTTTCTGTTGGGAAGGAGGAAAGTCCTCCTTAGCCACAGGCTTTGTCCTACACAGTGACACCTGATAATTATAGACATAAATAGGGAAGATAGAAATATGAGATGGCTTAGGAAGGAAGATGAAGCTTGAGATAATAATGGGACATCCAAATTAAAAAAAATAGTTGGGCATAAGGGAATGGAGTCATGCATATGAATTATTCCTCTACTATATCTAATCAAGGTATATTGCAGACCCTTTGACTACTGTTGGGTATGTGCAAATTAAAAATAAATAAATAAAACTTTTTTCATATGGATTGTTAGAAGCAACTATGTGGAGATTGCTTGTAAATAATCTAATACTTGGAGAGGAGCTTACCACATACAAGTAGGATGGTTTCCTTTTTTGGAGGGGGGAGCCACAAACACACACACACACACACACACACACACACACACAACTGGGATAAAATGAAGACTGAGGGAACCAAGCAAAAAAGCATGAGAAATCTAAGCAAGAGTCACTTTCACCTAGGAGGGGTCAGGGGAGACTTCATGGAAGAGGTGGCATCTGAACTGCAGGAAAAGAGATGGAAATGGATGAGAGGGATGATGGGGGATGGCATGAGTAAGGACATGAAAATAGGAAAGGGCATAACAAGCATCATAGATTAAGTGTATTCTAGTTTGGCTGGAACATAGAATATGTGAAGGTGTTGGGACAACACACAGGTAAGTCAGAGCCAGATTATGGCAGACTTTGGATGCCAGAATGATGGATTTATACTTTATTAGGGAGGAGCTGAGAGCTGATGGGGCTTTTTTGGGTGGCTAGGTAACACAATGGATAGAGTGCCAGGCCTTTAGTCAGGAAGACTCATTACTAGCTGTATGACCCTGGGCAAGTCACTTAACCCTATTTGCCTCAGTTCTTCATTTGTATAATAAGTCAGAGAAAGAAATAGCAAATCACTCCAGTATCTTTGTTAAAAAAAAAACCCCGAATGGGGTTGTGAAGAGTCAAACATGACTAAACAAAACCTGTAACTGGAGATTTTTAAAACAAGGGGTGACATCATTATGGAGACCTTTAATAGATCATTAAAAGATTACTCAAGCATTGAGAATACACTGGAGAGAGAATCAAGTGGAGTTTAGGAATACCAAGAATTTACTACAATAGTACAGAGAGGGGCTATATGCAGAAGAAGAGTAGCTGCTAGACTCCAGAATGAAGTGTGAAGAGAAGAGGCCAAAAAGGAGAGATGTTCAGCAGGTTTGGGAGTAGAACCAACAGATTTGAACAAATAATTGTTGGAAGAGGAGAGCCAATGATTCCAAAGTGACAATCCTAGAATAACGGGTAAGGCCAATTAATGAATAATCATTTTAAAAGCACCTACTGTCTAAGGCAGGGTCCTAAGTACTAGGTATACAAAGAACAAACAGACAACCCTTGACCTCAGGGAGCTTACATTCTATCAGGAGAGGCAATATGTACATATGAAAGTATATATGAAAAGTATACAGAATCAGTATATAAACACAATTTTGGAGTAAGGCAACAGCATCTGGGGGATCATTAAAGGTCTTGTGTAGAAAGTAATGCTAGAGGGGCAGCTAGGTAGCACAGTGGATATAGCACTGGCCCTGGAGTCAGGAGGACCTGAGTTCAAATCTGGCCTCAGATACTTGACACTTACTAGTTGTGTGACCCTGGGCAAGTCACTTAACCCCATTGTCTAGCCAAAAATAAATAATAAATAAATATATAAATAAATAGTCATTTCAGCTTAGCACTGAGGATTTTCTTTCTTCCTTCCCCCTCAACCTTAACCCTCAAATAGGAAATAGCTTTTTGTTGTTAAGTCATTTCAGTCATGTCTAACTCCGTGACCCCTTTGCGGGTTTTCTTGGCAAAGATATCGGACTGGTTTGCCATTTTCTTCTGCAGCTCACTTTACAGATGAGGAAACTGAGGCCAACAGGGTTAAGTGACTTGCCCAGGGTCACACCGTGTTTGAGGCTATATTTGAACTCAGGAAGATGAGTCTTCCTGACTCTCTAAGCCCAGCACTCTGTGCACTATGGCACCACCTAGTTGCCCTCCAGAAATAGCCCATTCAGCAATTTGAGAACGGGAGAGATTGCAGGCTGGGAGCTGCTTGTAAAGGAGACCCTTGAAAGGGGTAGAGAAAGGAGGGAATATATTTTTCTTCCTCTTTCCCCACCAGCTTTGAAGAGTTGCCACTGGATCAATAGTTGAATCAGGTGGGGAACAGAGACACTCCAAATAGACTTGGATGATTCCTGGTGAGAGTCAGACCATGAAAAGGAGCATACCCTATGAAGCAATTGTGAAGAAAATGTCTTGTTTTTTAGTACCAGGAGCTGTGAGTTGCCTTTATCATACACTTGTCTTACTAGCACTGTACTTATAGTTTGAGCTCATTCTTCATACAGATGCTTTGTGAATGTGAGAGGGGACAGCACAGTCTAGATTTATGGAAGGATTGTTTTGTGCAACTGTTCTTACTAGGACATCTTAGTAAATACCTTTACTAAAAGCTAATTGTGTGTATTGTTGTTAATGGGTATTACTGTTAATTTGAAGTACACTTGTGGGAGCTCGTGATCTATGGTAAAAGGTGTAGCCAAGGGTTTACTTGAACTAGTTCTTGTGTTCAATTTTCAGTTCAATTATTTATACCTTGGAAATCAGTAAACACTATAAATCAGAACTTAATTGTTTTGTTGATGATATGGACTTAAGAAAGTGATGGAGAAAATGTTAATAATGCAAATTAAATTAAACTTAAAAGTATGTCACAAATATATATATATATATATATATATATATATATATATATTACCATATATGCTGAGCATACACATATATGTGTGTGTATATATATGTACATACTACATACATTATATATATATATATACTATATAATATTATATATATTATATGTATATTCTTTGGGGACTGAAATTTTAAGTGTTAGTTGGAAGAGTAGCATGGAAGTGCCATTTACATAATATATAAAAGTGGCTTACTGGATAGTGTGCTGGACTTGAAATCAGGAAGACCTGAGTTCAAATTCTGCCTCAGATACTTACTAGCTGTGCAAATGTGGATAAATCTCAACTCTTTCTGCTTCCTTTGTTACACAGGAAACCTGGGGAAACTAACCTACCTCAGTGGGTTGTTATGAGGATTAAATGAGATAACATGTAAAGCACTTTGCAAATCTTAAAAGTGCTATATTACTCTATGCAAAAATTGTGTGTAATTAATTTTTTAATTGACTGGAAAAAAATTATGAAATACAGACTTTCCATAAAACAGCCCTTCTTTGAAAATATTAGCACCTTGATGCATACATAATTTATAGTTGAAGATGGTTATACTTTCTAACTCTTTTTTATATAGTATTGCAGTGGAAAAAGCACTAGCCTTAGGAGTCAGAAGACCAGGATTCATGACTCAGCTTGCTATTTACTAGACCTTGGACAGGTACATTAACTTTCCCTATAAACAAGGATATTACTTGTACAACATCTACCTCTGGTTGCAAGGACCCAATGAGAATGCTGATGAAATTGTTTTGAAACTATTAAGTCATGTAAGTTCTCATGGAGAAATATAGTTAATAAACGCATAGATTTGTTTAGAAAGTCACCTCCTTGGGACAGCTAGGTGGTATTGTGGATTGCACACCAGCCCTCGGAGTCAGGAGAAACTGAGTTAAAATGCAGCCTCAGACACTTACTAGTGGTGTGACCATGGGCAAGTCACTAAACTCTGACTGCCTCCCAAAAAAGAAAAAAAGAAAACCACTTCCTTTATTTACTAATCATAGGATGCTCAAAAAAAACTATTTCAGCTTTCTTCAGGTTGTGACTGCATCATTGTCCTTCCCTTTTCATTTATGTAGGAACTGAGCTATTGAATTGGGAAACCAATGAGTTCTACACATTTACTATCACTGACACTCATTGCCCCTTTACTAAAATGCTCCTTTTAATCAAGTGTAAAAAATTCATACTTTAGCACAATGGCATAAAGTATTATCTGTGCATCAGGAAAATTGAATAATATGATCTCTTTGTCCACAGACTGTATTTTATCTGCATGATGAGAAACAGAGAAGGAGAGTTTGCAATTCATTCTGCCAAAATCCTTTACATTCACTTCACAGGATTCTGAGGCAGTGATTTAAAATCATTTTGGCAGCTCTGTTTCCTCATGCAAAAACATCCACTTCACAAGAGTGTCTAAAGTTTTCAAAATGCTCACTGATATACCAAACCTTCTATATTTAGGCTTCATCTGTTGAGAGTGTGAGAGAGAGAGAGAGAGAGAGAGAGAAAAACAGTGCATGTACACGTGTGTGTGTATGTGTGTGTGTGTGTAAAGTTGGAGAAGTAAGTCAGGTAGTAATAAAACAAAAATAAAACAAAATACAAATAAATCCATAATGGCTCCATTTATTAACACATGTATCACAAATGCTCACAATATCAATGCATTCTTGGCATGCTAGACAAAGGCATTATTTAAACATTTCTATTTTTTTAAAGGTTTTGAATTTTTTGCTCCTCCCCATATACTCATTTTTAATCAATTTGATGATATTCTTGATGACTGTAACATCAATACATGAAAGAAATATAATTATAGAAAGAAAAAAGTCAAAGTACAGCACAATCAGGATTAGTTTATATTATCTTTAGGTGAAAAAAGAGGTGACATTATTGCCTTTATAGTGAGCAACAACACAGACTTGTAATAGTACTACACAGGTTCAAAGTCAGAAGCAAAAATTCACTAAATGGTCTATATACATAGTAGGCATACAACAGAGTAATAATCAAAGAAGTCTAAAAATCAAGAAAAAAAATTTCCCTCGAGTGTTACATTTTCAAAAATTTCCCTCTGAATATCTTCATGGTCAATTACTGGTTTTTCTTTCTAGGATCAGGATAGTTTGAGGAAGGGGAGGAAAAGTCCTTAGTAAAGCAGTAAATAAAACAAAACCAAAGAAGGTTAAACCCAAAGAAGAGATATACTTCATATACTTGTTTAGATGAACATGTGCAACATTTATTAACCTTGGTGAAAGGCTAAGGATGCCCTCCAGCCACTACATGCAGAGTCTGATCAAAGGTGTTAATGGATAACCTTTAAGTTACAATGCAGCTAAGGTATGGCCAGGGGCGTACCAATAGCGCCATCTTATGCAGAGCCTTTGAAGATGGAGTGTTGTACAGTACTAGATGCAGAACAACTTGGGCTACTCTCTGTGGCACAACAGTACTTCACAGAATGGAACTCTAGGCATGGTACGATTTGACAAGTGGAGCTGAGACTTTGTGTCTGTTGGTGTTTGGGTGTACATGTATGCACACAAGAGCGTGTGTGCGTGCGTGGGTGTGTGTATGTTTGTGTGTGTGTGTGTGTGTGTGTGTGCGTGTGTAATATGCTGTAACATTCCTTGAAACTCTTCCTAGATTGTTGCAGCTCCCAATTTAACAGGCTTCTTCTTTCCCCAACATCCCTGAAAGACTAAGGAAGAAAATTAACTGATGAGTTGGTTCTGGTTGGTAATTAATAATGCAGAATTGTGGGTTTGCTTTTAAGCAAGGACTGTTTCACTTTTATATTTGTATCTTCAGTACACAGGACTCACGGGTCTCTCTCCTAGCCCCTCCTCCTTGACGGCTGCATAGCCTTTCCTGCCCCCCTTTCCATCCCTTCTGGTTCCCTGTTCTGCATCTCCTCTCTTCTTTTCTCTTGCAGATTGTAAACTCCCTGAGGGGACCACCTTGCTTATATGTATTTGTCTATTTGTATCTAGTACTTAGCACAGTGTCTGGCACCCAGAAAGTGCTTGAGCTTGAAAAAGCTTGAGCTATCGATCAGTACAGGGTCTGACACACAGTAGGCCATTTAAGAAATAACTGTTTGTTTAAACAACATGGATCAAGTAAAAGAAAATATTTTTAAAAAGCATCCAGAATACTATTCTCTACCAATGCTGCCTTAAAGGCATCGAGATTGTGATAGAATCCCAGAAGGCTATTCCCCATTAAAGTCCCTCCAGCTGCCAAACCTTGGCAGTACAGTATTTGCCCATTAACTAAATCTTGAGGGCAACACTTCTATGACATATACATATGAGTATGTGTACCTATAAATATAAATAAAAGTACATATAAGCATAAATGAAACTTGCCTTTTTATTACACCATCTCATATTGATTGGCAGTGATAAACCGGGACAGACAGCAGGCCAACAGCATACCAATCAACTATTGTAGGGAAGAAAAATGCAAAAGAGAATCAGGGCATTCACATATGTTCCTTCCATGTCCCTGAACAGATTCTGGCCACAGGGGACAATAGGGACTTTACTTTGGACACTCCCTTCTCTGGCTTGTTTTTCAAAAAATTGGAATCAGGTATAATAGGGGGAAATTACATTTAATACCTTGAGTTCAAAGTTATTGGTCTCAAATGTAGGGGAAACCAGAGCATCAGGAATTTGGATTTAGGTTTTTGTTTCTAGCATAGCTCTCAACAGAAACTTAAAAAGAACTCGGCTATAACATTGACTCCTAAAATATTAAAACATGTTAATAAATTAAAAATTAGAATAATCTTGTCACAGACTAATGCTGTTTCAACAGAAGAAACAGCTACTTTCCTTAATCCAGGCTATGACACAGATGAATAACATAAATGAGTGATGACATCAAGAACTCTTGGGCAAATCTTGGTTTGCGATCTCTGGAGAAGCAAAATCCTTACGGTGACAGCCCAATTTTACATTTTAGCCTTAAAGTCTATTCCTTTTCTCTGCCAAGCAACATCTACTGTGTAAATAATTTAGCCACTTTATTATTTTATTTGGTAAGCTTAATGACAGTTCTTGGCTTCAGCTGCCATTCATGATATACTATAAAATCAGCCAACGTAATTCAGAGAGAAAAAATGTTGTCTAGTGTTTCTCGTATTCGTCCTCATGCTACTCACTTGTTTTAGTGATGAACAGGCATCATGCAATCAAGACGGCCTTGATCAGAGGTATCAAATAGAAAGTGAGCCTTGAAGACTGCATATTGACTTAGAAAACCACAAATTTACATTATCTGTGTTGTATTATTTAGTATTTTATTTATTTTGCTAAACATTTCCCAATTACATTTTTATGGGGGGAGGGGAAGTACTTGGCAGAAGGAATTTGTCACCTTTGGCCTTGATGACAGGCTTAATAAATACAGAACCAGTTTGGCTGCTGCACATAAATACAGCTTTAACCTTAGACAGATGGGGATAGAAGGTGAGAGGAGAAGAGGAAGAAGATATTATTGTGTTGCAAGGGGATCTGAACCTTACAGTAGTTCCATTACTGATCCTGAGTGGTCATAATAACATTTCAGAGCATTTACAGAATCAGACAGTATCCCCAAGGTCACTGGATCCAAACCTATACCTTTTTACCATCCCAAATAAGTGTATGGTTACTGTGCCATTACAAATAAAATGACAGAAAGAATGCCAGTGATAGAGTTAACTGGTAGAGACTAAAGACATCTGGCAAAGGCAGTGGTATGCTGAGGACAGAGTGGAAGAGTAAGGCCTAGACATTCTAAAGAACATATGAGTTAACAGCCTGAGTAATAAAAATGAATTGGGAAGAGAGAAATTTAATGGGAAAATACAGGGAAAGAATGGAATTATAAAGTAATGAAAAAGCAATATGAAAGCCCACCCCCTTGAATATATATGTGTGGATACACACATCCTTCCCTTCTTAACCTTCATATATTTTGCCTTAATCTCTTAGCTCCATATATCTTGCCCAAAACAGCTTCCTATGTCACTATATTAATTAGTCTTTCCATCCACCTCCTTAATTAGAACATGATTATATCCAAAGAACAATGTCCTCTTCCATCTTACACATATAACTTACATAACCCCAGTCCCAAAGTCCATCAGTGTGGGACACTCTCTTCATTGATGGAGATAAATGTCCCACTGCTGCACAAGGGGTGGGGCAGAGTTGATGAGAGCAAGAAAGAATAGAGATCGGTTCTCACTATTTTTTTAGGGGGCTCTAGATTCCAGCTAGACTGGAAAAATCTAGAAAGAAACTCCAGAAAAACTGGGAAAAGACTGACATGATAGAGACTGCCAGTTCCTCTTATGGTGACTTCCTATTAGGTTGGCTTTTTCCTAGAGTCTTTTTCTTTCTACAGTGACCTGAAGAGAGGGTAGCATCATGTATTTTCTCTCTCAAAACTGGAAGCCAGAAGCCCTGAAGAGATCAAGGAGACCAGATTTCTCCTCTCTCCTGCTCTTATCAAACTCTGTCCCACCTCTCTTGCAGGGATGGGACATAGATCTCTACTACTGAAGACAGAGTCCTATACCAACTGGATTTTGGGGTTGGGTACAAATTCAATCATCAAAAACCTAGTTCAGTCTTAATGATTTCCACCCTTGGAATGACTGATGCAAGATACACATCTTCTAAAATATCTCCCTTTACAAGATGTCACTTCCCTTTTATGCCCTAAGTTCTCTCTTGCCACCAAAATTCAACAGATTATAGCTACCTGATTTCTGAAAAAGGGTTCAAAGATATTTTTTGTATTTGTTTAACTTAAGAGCCTCCAATCTTTTCTTCCTCAGATGTATCCTTTGACATATTTGCTTCCGTTTTTCTCTGTCATCTCATGTGTGTTTGCATACTGACAACAATCTTTAACTACATGTTTTGTAGTTCTCAAACATTTAACATGAAAAATATTCTAGCACAAGAGTCCTCAGCTGCAATTTAGAGACAACAGATCAAGAAAACACTTCAGAACACTATATTAAATAGTTTGTAGGCAAATCCATGGCCTTCAGGGAAACACACCATTCTGCATTTTTTAGTAAAGCAGGAGACATCCAGCTCTTTAGAGTGTTGGACCTAGTAACTTTATCATTGAAACAACAACTACAAAATAGGCAGAAAAATGCTGTTCACTTGAAATTCATTTCTGCTTCTCATTTCTGAAGCATAAACACATTCTCATCTGCCTGGAGGAAAACAATTTTTTAATTTTATATCTGTCAGTAAAAAGAATTTTGTTTTTCCAAAATTTGTGTTAAATTGAAGCTTATTCAAGTCACATGAAAATATGTGTGGGCTTGCCTTCACACTGAATTTTATTTCAGACAACAAAAGTTGAGATCCAGTATTCTGAAGGCCTTAGAAAGGATTTCTCTCCAGCTAATCTTTCTATACTAGAAGTATAATATGGTAAAAAGAAGCCTCGACTTGTTAGTTAGGAGACATAGGTTCAAATACCAGCTCCCAAGCATATTATTATCAATTATTAGTGATGGTGAACAAGTCAATTATCAATGTTGAGTCTCACTTTTCTCCTCTGTTAAATGTAGATAACGTTTTCATTACTTACCTCATAATATTGTCAGGAATGAGCCACGTAAACTTTAAAGTATCTCACAAATGTGATTTATTATTATTATTATTATTATTATTATTATCATTATTATTATTCCTACTACTGGAGACATTTGATTTCCATGAAATCAGTGTTTTTTCTCCCTAGTTGATAAATAATTACATTTTCCCAAAATTCCTTACCTATCAAAAACTAGACTAAAGGGAGGAAATGCTGTCCAAGGTATTTTATTATAAAAAATTAAAACCAAATATTTTATCTTCATAAAAGTAAAGTCACGTTCTACACACAAAAGCAGGCTGCATCTGTCCTTTCATTTAGCCTGGGCCCATAAACAATGCATGACTGCCAGACTTGATTAACCTGAATACAGCAAACTCCATCCATCTTTATTCAGATTAAACAAATACCAGATTAATTGGCATACACAGAATGCATTTCTATTTTACAGCTGGGAGATGGCCCCTGTGACTATCTGTACATCATCTTTATTTTTATTTTAGAACCACATAGCTTAAGTCTACCATAATACTATAAAGAATCTTCTAAAAAATTCCCATTGATGTGTTATTACAAAGATTGTTATTACCAAGATTTCAAGATTAGAGTTTTACTTGAACCAAGAGAAATATAGAAGAGAGGGGGTCTGTTCTCCTCTGCTGGAAAGCGGCAGGCCCTGGCCATCTAGACTTCCTGGGGACACTGACCTGAACACCCAGGGAGTCAGTCACACAGGGAGATACATGTCACTATTTGCATTTGGTTGAATGGAGCTTAGTAATTAGTCCCAATCTAATGACTAACAAAACAAAACAAAACGCTTTAATACCACTGGCCTTGTCAACGTTTTATTCTTCTTTCTTCTTATCAGTAATTTCTCTAGGGAAATAGGCATCTGTAAGATTTTATTTTCAAAGCAGGGACATGGAAGAGGAAAGGACTTTTTCAAATCAAAGGCACTGTGTTGGCCCATTACCTAGGAACAAGCTCTAAGCCCACCTCTAGCACCAACTGCAACATTGTTTGGAACCATGGAGTAGCAATCATGCTGTGGGTTTCAGCATGGGAGCAATGAAAATTGCTGGTAATAAATCAACACAGAAAGGGTTAAAAAGGCATGTGGGCATGAGGGCCTTGGATCAGAGGGAAAAGGGTCAGGGCAGAAATACAACCAGCAAAGACCCTCAGATGGCAAGAAACCTTCTCATCTCCCCCCTGGTTAATGATTCTATTCTCCAGGGCCTAATCTAATCCAGTTTCCAGAGCATAAAAGGGCAGGTAAGTAAAGCTGCAAAGTTAAACCTGAGCTAATGAGGCAAGTGACAAGCACTAGCTCAAATTCTTTGAAATTATTTTGAAATTGGGAAGATTATATATTAATGACTCAACTGAGAACTTCTTTTGGGTTTTTGGGAAAACTCTTAACAATTTAAGCCAAACTAAAAGTGAATAAATGCTGCTTGGGAAATTTCCCTGGCTCACCCAAGGACGATGGGAAGTAATTCCAAACTTTTTGGATTAATATTAGCAAGAAATTATGAAATAATGCCAAATGGGAGCTAAAAGAAGCAACAGCTCCCTCTGGCTCTACATGCGCCCAGTGGGACAAGGTGCTCCTGGAGGGCAGAAGTGAGTTACTGCCTTCAAAGGGAGCCTCAAAGGAGGCCCATGGACTGTGGCAGGGTCACCCAGAGGACATGGGAGAGCTGGAAGAGGGAAGGCATAGCGGGAGAGGAAGCAGAGAAGGGAATGTATGTCCTCAAAGGTAGGTATCTTGTCATCAACTACAACTGACCGGTTCATTTTCTTTGAACACCAGGAAGAAAGTGATAGAGGGCCTGGTTGTCTGCTCAAGGTGGAATCCAGGCAAATGAGTTCTGAACTTAGGTAGGATAAAAGGTGGGGCAATCACCCTAGGCCCTGAGGCTGTTAAATGTCACATCATCCTGAGGGGACCCCAGGACAGATCACAAAACCTAGGAGAAAACAGGGGAACTAATGCTAAGCAACAAAGGGTGCTCAGATGTCCACAAGGGGATTTCAAGGGTTCCAAGGCTAAGTGTGAACAAAATGCTTACCCACAGCATCACATCCACACTTCCAAAAGGCTAGATCTGGATTTAATTTTTCTTGTATTTAACACTTAGGAAATTATACTATTATCCTAGAATACGTACTACACAGGTGACCCAGATACGGAAGAAACAAGACAATGGGAGAAGAGAAAAGGACCGCTACTTTCACCTTCCTTCATTGCCTCTCATACCTGTACAAGGATCTTTAACCCCACTGCCTAATCAGACTTAGTGGGGAGGTCCTGTGGTTGAGCATGAAGGGCTAGAATCAGGAGACCATTGATTTGAAACCCAACTATGACACTTACTAGCTGTGTGACCCCTCTTCTCTGAGACTTGGTTTCCTCCTCTAAAAATGGAAGGGTTAAACATACTCTACCTCACAGACTTGTGAGGAAAATGCTTTGTAAACCTTAAAGTTATTCATGTCATCCTGCTGGTTAGAAAGCCAAAATTTTTAATTAACATTTGTTAAGTTCCTCTTGAGGCTCTTGGCCTAAGCTACTTTGACACATGTGACCAGAGCTCACAATTTAAGGTAATGGACAGTTTTTATTTGGCTGAGGGGGAACCTATGTCATCATGGTCTTTGCTGCACCATCATCCATGCAGGCAGGGGCCTTCTAACTGTAGGAATACATGGAGGTTCTGACTTCTTTGCTCTCTAGACTCTCTCTCAGCTCATCAGCTCCCACAGATGCCATTTTCTTTATGTAAATAACTCTCAGATTTATATATCCACCCTAGCTGTTCTCCTGAGTTGCAGTCCTGTCCCACAGGTATCTCAAACTTCTCATGTCCAAAACTGAACTCAGTACCTTCCCTTCTCCCTCCCTTACCAACCCACCCATCTTCCCAAGTTCCCTAGCTCTGTCAAGGGCCTCACTCTGTCTTCACTTTGTGCTAAAGGAAAATATCCAGAAAGATGACATATGGTTGCCTAAATTCCTTTCCCAATCATTGCTTTCTGTAAGGTTCCAGTTGAATTTTAAGCAAATATATTTCTTCATATGGGTATGGAAGAGAAGAAGGTAGGTGGTAGTAAACAGATTTTCAGTGATTTGGTTGACAACTGCAAATTTAGTATGGACAACATGGCAGCCCCCAAAAATAATGTGACCTTGGGTTACATTAACGGAAGCACAGTGTCCAAAATAAGGGAAGTGATGCTTTCACTTGACTGCTTGGTTAGAGCACATATGGAATGCTAGGTTCTGGGTACTACATTTTAGGCAGGACACTGACAAGCTGGTTTGCACTAGGATGGTTAGAGAAAAGGAAGATTGATTTAAGAAGCTGGAGAAGGGAGTGCTTGTTAGGGAGAGAAAGGATGAGACAATTACTGACTTCATAGGTTTGCATGAGGAAGTGGGATATTTCTGCTTAGCCCTAGAAGGTGGAAATAGGAATAATAGGGAGTGTACAGGGAGAAAGACATCAATTTCATATGAGGAAGACCTGCTTAACAATCTGAACAATTAAAAAATGGAACAAGAATAATATCCAATAATATAAAATTATGATATACATAAATCATATATATAGTGTATATTATATTAATGTTATATAATATGTGCATATTATATAACACATTATAAATATTAGCTAATTTGACTCTCACAACAAATCTGTGAAGTAGGTGCTATTATTATCCTCACTTTTCAGACGCACTCATGCAGCCATTGTATGTCAGAGGCAAGACTAAAACACAGGTCTTTCCCTAACACTGGGTCTCGCTCTCTAGTCACCAAGCTATATGCTGCTTCTCTGGACATTCACCAGGGAGAATTTGAACAAAATTACCTTTTTCCTGGGGATAGAGACCTCCTTGATCCTAAATACAAATCTATACTTTCTGATTTATACACTGGACACTGCCAAAAACCAGAGAGAGAGTTGTATTTCAAGGACCACATAGTAAGCCCTATACATTGGCATCACCTATAAGGTTTGGGATCTACTTTAAAAGGTTATGTCATCCTGGCAATCAAGATACTATTGAAATGCCAACTGTTATTGTAATAATACTACTACAATTCAAAACAACCTGGTGAGAGGCTCCGTGGGAGAGTAGAAAGGACTAAATCAGAAGACCCTTGATTTGAAATTCAACTATGATATTTATAATACTGCTTCAGAAATGCTAGAGGTATTTAATTCAATTTTGTTTGTGATCACTTCTAGTTGATCTGTGATTTCATGCCAGAGCTTAAATGCATTTAAAGGGCTTAGAAAACTCAACTGTTAAAATAAAGAATTCTAAAACTTAAATGGATCCACATTATTTTCTGAGATCAATGCCCTTAACTTTTGAAAACATTATTTGGGAGGGGAAAAAAGCAGCTCATTTACTGCTTTCTACTTTCATAGAATATACACGTGACAATTATAGTTCCCCAAACTTAAATAATAAAAATATACTAATTAAGGGAAAGACAATTTTTAATTGTTTGGGTTTGGATGAGATTTAAACTTTAATTGAATGAAACCCTTTAAACTGTTTATCAAATTATAAATATTTTTTCAGCCTTTCTTTCTCTTGAAAGAAAAACCTTAGCAGCCCAAAGAAAATTTTAGTGGTAAGGGTGAGATTTTTCAACTTTTATAAAAATTCTTAAATATATTTTAAATTTCTAAAGTTGTTTTATTTATCTTCTTCAGTTCCTGGGCCTGATTTACATGACTGCCTAAATGAAAAGTTGGGCTTTATAGTCCTTTTTAGAACATGAGTACATGAAAAAATTTATCTGACATTTCAGAAGCTAATGGGAAAAAAAAGAAAACAGCTATATTAAGATAGAATGAATGTGAAATGAAACTGACCTCGTTAATGGCAGAGACTTTCCACAAAATCCATAGTAACAAAGGGAAAAAAAAGGAGGGTACAAGTCAACTAGCAAAAGGAAAAAAAAGCTTTTCCTAAATATGGATCAGTTATTTGATGTTTTGAGTTGTTTATGCTCCAATTAAGCCAGTGCTTTGTTGGGTTAACCTCTATTTGACCTAATGGAGAGACAAGTTGTTTTTCTAGAGCTAGTCATTAGTTGAACTGTAACTGATATTCCCCTGATGGAAAAACTTCATTTAAGTTGAAAAAGGAAAATCAATAAACAGATGACCTGAGGACTAATAAGCATTAGGCTCTATCCCTATTCCATCAACTTTTTCCTAAAGTAAAAGGTAGACTGGCAGAGTGGCAAGGAAGGTGGACAAGAGATGGGGGTGAAAGAGAATAGAGTAACCAGCGAATCAATCAACAAGTATATGAACCAGGGAACAAACAAGCAAGTCCCATACCTGGGAGAACGCAATTCCAAAAGCCACGCCAGCTATGATGCCCATATTTGTCTCCATAAAACTGGTCACCAGATCATAACAACCCTGGGGGAAAAATAAAGAGATGACACAAGGCTAGTCAGCATTTAGCATTTGGAGTAGTAAAGGGTTTTGGTTTGTTTATTTTTTTAATTAAAGGAATAATTACCTGAAATACACCACCAAACTGAATGAAAACTATATAATATTTACAAAGTCATACTTGTCAATTTAGAAATCTATTTTCTCTTATAACTTGAAATCTATCATTCATTGGGGGCAGTATTCATACAAACAAACTCAAAGACCCATCAAAATATTATAATAATATACTTTTTAATCTGTGCCATATTTGCTCATTTATGTGCTCTGGGTGCGTCTTAAGTCACTAGACTTCTTCGGCCCAGTTTCCTCATGAGTAATATGAGAGGGTTGAGGATAAGATGACCTCTAGCTCTAGATCTATGATTCTAAGTAGCAGAGCTGGGATATGTAATTGACAGGGTGCTTATACTCAGACCCAAATTCTAAGACCATATTTCCCTTTGGCGTCAAAAACACTATCCCTGGCAGTTTCTCCCCAGCCCAAGGACACTATGCCTAGCAGTTATTCATGAGTGGGCTCCAGCAAAACACATTTATCTCTCTCCCCAGTGCAGTTACAAACTGCACCTGTAGGAGTTATTAGTTTGAACTGGCTTTGTACTAGCTCATAAAGATATTGGAACTCATTGGACTATCTATACCAGCTCCCTACCTCATTATCTGCATCCTGGACACCTCATGTGTATTCTAGAGTTAAGACCCTACATCTATCTTGTCAAACAAGACATTGACTGGTGGCAAACTGGACAACCCTCAGGCAGTCCTGACTCCTGGTTAACTTAGTGACTTAGCAGATCTAAAAAAACACACCTAACTATGGCCCCCCTCCTTGAGCTTTTCTTGGTGAACTCTGGGTAAAATGCCTGTGCAGTACATACAAAAAGTACATGCTCCTTTAACACTCCTTAACCACTCCCTAATCCCACCCTGAATCACCTGGTTAGCATACTTGGCACATATTTTACTATAGCTTATTCTATATAAACTTTAACTGTACCCTTCTAAAGTTGCAGGTTCCTTAAGAACTTTTGCCCATTGAATAGTGTAAACCTTTGCCAACTTGACTCAAAGAATGCTTGAGTCTGTGAATTCATTCCAGAAGACCCTGTCCTGTACTTCAGTCCTTGGTGGTGGTGGTGGTGGGTGTCCCTGAATCCCTCAAACCACATCATAACCATGTCTTTTGATTCCAAAAGCAGCACTATTTCCACTTTACCATAATGTTGCTTGAGAAGTATTTCTACACCTTATATACTTTCCATACTAGGCATAGTTCTCTCTCTGTCTCTCTCTCTCTCACACACACTCTCCAAAGATAACTATGAACCTTTCTACAATTACTACAAGAAGTACAGGTATGTATGTTTGGTTCTTACAGTTTGTTTTCTGCTCACACATTCAAATGTATATACATACTCAAATGGATAAATTTTGGTTTTTAAAGGAAATTTGTCTAAGTTTTATGCTAAAACAGCCTAAAATCTAAGTAAACTAAGCTTCCTCTTCTAGAATATAAGTGTCTTGCATGCAGGGATTGCTTTGTTTTTTCCTTTATACACCCAGTATATAGCATATTTCCTCGCACAAAGTTGATGTTAAATCAATTGATAAACATTTATTAAGCACCTATTATGTGGCAGGTACTCTGCTACCTTAATAAAGGTTAGTTGAATCGAATACTTCCTATCCACCCCACATCTGTTTCTTATTTTCCCTTCTTTTGTGCTTTTGTCACAGAACTTTTCCTACACAAAGAAATGCCCCTTTCTCCAATCTCCTACTCCTGAAATTCTACTCCAACCTTTAAGGTGGAACTCAAGAGCCATATCCTGTATGAAGCCTTCATTGATCCCGTACCTTCTAACTCAGAAATTATTTTTCCTTTCCCTGACTGCAAAGAGTATTTTTTGCTACTCTTATGAGTTTATCCTATTTCAAAGTAGAATCATCATGGTGAGCAACTATATATAGTATAGTACTGTGTATGTCTGTGTGAAATCCCTTTTCATGGAATGTAAGGTATATGAAAACAGTGGCAAAGACGTCTTAATCATTTTTTGCAATCTACCAGTACAGAAAGAGCTCTGCCTATAGCAGACATGTAATGATTACCTAATGAAATAAAGGAAAAGTAGTACTGTTTTAAACTCTATACTAGGTACATTAAAAGTCATGAATTTATAAAAGCAGCAATGTTATAAAAGTTTTGTCCATTTAAAATGCGACATTGCATTGTAGCCCTATTCTTTCCCATTAGTTCCTATTGAGCCTGTATTAGGTGCACATAAAAGGCAGCTCAGAAATGTGTGATTTAGACAATAAATTCTGTAGGTATTTAGAAAACCAGATGACAAGGGTTCAAAACAGTCTTCACAGAGGGGTTGGGCCTTGACCTGGACTATTTAGTTGACAGAAGATTTAGAGAGAAGGGACAGGGCATTCCAGGTTGAGGAAAGAGTGGAAGCACAGTTAAGAGTCCTAGCTGAAGAGGGAATATTCGAGGGTATGACGGATTCAGAGCCGGCAGGGACCCCAAAGGCTATCAGCTCCAACTTCCTCATTTTACAGATGCAGGAATAAGAGGCCCATAGAGATGTGGTGACTTGCACAAGGTTTTACAAGTAATAAATGAAGGAGCCAGGATCTGAACCCAGATCCTCTTTCTTAGGGTAAAGGGTTTATGTCAGAGAGTAGAGAAAGATAAACTTGCATAAGAAAGATGGAATGACTGGTTTTTGAGAAGTGAGAGATAAACAAGGACAGGAAAGGTGTTGCCAGATGATGGAGGCCTCAGAGGCCAGGCTAAGGAGTTTGAACTTCACAATGTAGATAAAAGGGAGTTATTGTAGGCTTTTTTGGGGGGAAGATGATGGAGGGGGGTGGTGGTGAAGAAGACAAAATTTAATTGTTAATCGTTGATTTTTAACATTGGTTGTTTATGACTGATAAAGTTAAATGATGCTTTTCTAAGTAGGATGATTTTAAACTTAGCTAATTTAGAAGTGAAAAGAGTATCACTAGTTAGACAAGGCTTGTTCCTTTCTGAGATTTGGTCCAAGTGTGCATGGCCAACAGACAAACAAACAAAACTAATTACTTTGTCATTTTTAAAATTTATTTTTTGTTGCCATTCTATACTTAACAAACATCAATTAATATTTCTTTATGAAAAGGAGAACAGAAAGAGGAATATGCATAGGAAACCAAGACTATTTACTAGGAATAACACTCTTTTAAAAAACATAAATTTAGCAAGCTGCTGTATTGCTTATCTGTGTTCCCTTCTGCACCTCTATTTTCTTCTTTTCTTAAAAAAATTCCCTCTCCTCAATTAAAATCAAACAAAAACCACCCCACTCTCCCTTGCACCAAATAAGTCCCATTACACTTAACAAAATCCATATATCGGACATATTTGAAAATCGTTATCTCATTCTGAATCTCAAATCCTTCACCTCTCTGCCAGGAGGTGGGTAGTATGCTTTATTGTCAGTCCCATGGAATCACTGTTGGGCCACTGCATTGATCAGAGTTCTTTCAAAGTTGTTTTTCTTTAAATTGCTATAGTCACTGTATCAATTATTCTCCCTGTTCTGTTCATTTTACTGCACATCAGTTCATATGTCTTCCTAGGTTTCTTTGAATTCATCTCTTTTGTCATTTATTACAATTCAATAATATTTCATTACATTCATATACCATAATCAGTTCAGCCATTTTCCAACTGATCAATATCCACTTTGTTTCTGTGCTTTTGCAATCACAAGAAGTGCTGTTATAAATATGTTTGTACATAAGTGTCCTTTCCCTTTCTCTTTAATCTCTTTGGGATATAAACCTAGTAATTGTATCACTGGATCAAAAAATATGCATAGTTGACTGACTTTGGAGGTATAGTTTCAATGAATTCCCTTCAAACACTTAACATTTAAGGTCCAAATAGCAAGAGTTAAGTAATATTTTTAAAACTGATTTAATAATATGGATTGATAGTGATTATGTAGAAGTAGGGATACAAATCAACTACAAAACTCTTTTAGCATTAATATCATGTACTAATCACATTTTTTAAAACTGCCATATTCTTTAGTCCACTTGAGATCACTCCATTTATTTCATTAAACAATCACTGTTCTATAGCTTACATAGTACAAAATTAAGTTAAAGATCACAATCTTGACTTTAGAATCAACTTTTTTCATTCTAAAAATGAAAGGGTAATAGAACTTGGTATTTTTCCAGTCTTCTTGAAAGGCTATCAACTCAACTTTGCATAGAGCTTACATCTTCTAAAAACTAACAGTTGCATTAATTCATTAGTCAGACTAAAGGCTGTGATGGTTAAAACAGGAAAAGCATGCTGTTGAGCAAATTTTTAAATAACATGTCTAATTTTAAAGCAAAGGAAAGCATAGTTTTCTAGTTTATCTTAATTTAGTTCCTAGCAATTTGCCAGGCTAACATTTTCATTGCTTTCCCCCTTATTTTGCACGTTCCCTGGGGTGTGTGAAAATTCCAGCTGAGTTATATCTCCTGACAAGTTGTATTTTATATGTCCACAGTCTGTCATTCAAAGAAACACACATTAACTTAGCAACTACTGTATGACTTGTGTTTTCACTGCAATTGACAAACTCTAATCCCTAGTTATTTGATGCAAATTTTAGAGGGAATAATTGAAATATCATTCACAAGATTTTGCGAAGTTTTATTCACTTTATCGTTAACAATTGGGCTTTTAACTTTTATGAGCATGGACATAATCTCATGCTGATTTTCTATTGCAGGGGGAGAAAAGTGGTGTTAGAATCAAAGAAAGAAAAGAAAGAGGAAGGAAAACGAATTTTTGAATAGTTTCTAAAAACAATAAAGCCTAGGATATTTTTTTCCTGGACATCATTGATGCCTTTCCCCCCCAGGGATTAATAATACATATGGAATAAAGAGTGTAAAAGTACCAT